CATCCAGGAACAGTATATAAAGCAAAGAATCAAATAATACTCTTCTGTTTGTCATGCTCTGCTTGCCGTTATGAGTTCCCTAGAAACCCAGTTTGAAGACATTGTTAGCGAAAGTATCTGCCTTGTTGGCGGCTTTTTAGCGGTCATGATGCAAATTGCGCATCCCCAGATAGCCAACGGAGTGGCTAGCCATAGCGCGTTCAGACATAACCTACGAGAGCGTGTCAAATCAATGCTGACCTACGTTTACATCGTTCTTCTTGGTACGGAAGAAGATATAACCGAGATCTCCAGACGGGTGGGCCGTGTCCATAGAACGGTCCAAAGGGGCGGAGCGGATGGATCGTATAGCGCGACTGACCCAGACTTACAGAAATGGGTGGCTGGGACCCTATATTGGGGGATGATTGGCATGTACGAAAGAGCCTTTGGCAAACTATCTCCGGAGGCGTCCGATTATGCATACCGGAGATTTTCAAAGTTAGGAACAGCACTAGACATGGAACACGATATGTGGCCAAGTAGTAGGGCTGCTTTCTGCTCATGGTGGGATGAACAATGTGCGTCGCTGAAATACTCTGAGCAATTCAGTGTTCTTCAGAGCAATCTTCTCAAGGTACACAGAGTCATCGGATGGCCGGTCAAACCCCTATTCGTTGTCGGAATGCCGTTTTTTCAAGCCTTTATGGTATCAAATCTACCATCAGTGGTCTGTGAGAGATTTGGGCTGCGACCAACTGTTTGCTCGCGAATACTCAATGCTGTCACGAAATTCCTCATCCGTTCGATATATCCACGGTTGCCCTCCCGGCTAAGACGCGCCCCATGCCGCTACATCATCAGTCAGTATTTGTCAGAACGTCGCTTGAAAGCACTGAAATTGGCATAGCTTACCAACCAGATTCACGAAAGTCGTGAGCAATCGTTCTCCTTCTCGTTTTCTGGATAACCCGCCGGTAGCGCCTTGATACTGTAGCTGTGACGGGCCAGAGCCCGGTGGTAAACCATGTGCCCTGGCCTTCGGATAGCGTCTTGGTAGAAGGATTCTGAGCGATTCTATCCGAAATGGGATCGACACTCTTAAGGACCGCGACCGACCCCTGTCTCTTCTTTCTTTCCTCAAGATTGTTGTAGACAGCATGTTGGCCTAGTTTAATTGAATTAATTCTGCTACAGCCCTTCACAGTAGCATTAGCACTCTCGTCTCCTTGGATGTCGTGCAATTCCACCCGTGGCGTGCGCCTTTGGGAGTCGCAAGCCCTTGCCCTCTTGTACAATCAGAGCCAACCCCTTTAAATCTAGTTGGCTCGGGCGAAAACTATAGCAATAGCTCAGAGATGATAAGTGAGAGCTGGAATGATTCTAGACAAGCGGCTCTACGAAAAATTCGTTGCTATGAAAGCTCACTGTTTGGAAATAGAAGTCGCCGAATGGACTCTTGTCCATATCAACAAATTCCACTCGATCAGACTAAAAATCATTTATTCCCTCCTTTTTCACAACTCCCTTTCCAGTGTGTAACTCACGATGATATTGATCACCGACCCCTCATCATCAACGAATAGGGAATTTTGATCCACTCAGACGGGCGGGATCTGAACCTGTCCTTGATGAATCAACGATGATCACGGTATGAGCTATAATCTTCGCGCTTGGAGTCAATCATTTCTGTCTAGACTCTAGACTGCCGCGGTGTAGACGTCGGTTGAAAGCCTCGCCGGCAGTTCCTGACGCTCAATTTAAAAACCATACCAACGTCACCGACCCTATATGGTTCTACGGGGGAATCCTAATAATTGGCAGAAAATGAATTTAAGCAAGTTGAACGTTCGGATTGATTAATGCGACGAGCCTGCTAGTAAGCAACAACCCGAGGTTCAAACGGACTTTGCAGATCAAAAGTGCCGAAGCCCCGAATGTTCAAGTCCAATCATGATAGCCATTAAAACAAGTGATATAATTGATCAGAACCTTATGTCAAGAACTCCTTCAAGCAGGCTTCTTAGTAAATGCCTTGAGCTTCCAGGGAGGCCGCCAGATCTTTGACCAGCGAGTTCATCTTGTCAAGCTTTCCACGCCGAGGCATGAGATCTAATTGAAAAGATCCAAAAAGCATGCCTACTGTGAGGATCGTTGCCAGTAATCGTGGGTCTAGATGCTATCGGCTGAGCTTTAACTCTGTTGTTGTGAGACGAAAATAAGTATTGTAAGATGTAAAGAAAAGGATGCACTACAAAGTCTGTCCTCCCCGATTCATTCGCCAAGTGCGTTGCTCTTCATTATGCGACTATCGACTTCGCGGAAGGTTCTTTGAGACTTTGACACCGACTGTCTTACGTCAGTGAATTCCCCTTTCTTCGAACAACCTTGATAAGATAACATGAAAGATTGAGTCTAATTGCAACGAAATAATCTCGTCTTCGAATTTTGTCAAAATTGGATCATTTTTCGCTGTATTGTAATGTTCGTATGAGTGGCTAAGGTTTGCAAACAGGCAAGGACTGTTCAAATGCGTGTTCATGGTCAAAATATGACCGTTGATCTCGCAGCTAAAGTATTGGTGTGCCGTGCCATTTTATATCAGCCCTGGTGGCTTAAGACAGCCATCTGGCCTAGGGTAGTATCTAGAATCGAACGTAACATCCACCCAGTAGACAGAGGCCTTCCTCAACCTGTCGGCACTTTCCCGTAATGAAGGTTAGTACGAGAGAAAGAAACGCTGGCAGCCAATCAACTTAGATTAGTCACCAGGACACTTGAAAGCCATAGCTGATGCGGGAAATCCGGTCACGCTGAGCTCATCACGTGACTTTATTCCACACTAAAACTTCTAAACTATGATGAGCACATAACGCAAACAGGCTAGAAAATTGCCCGAACTCGATTTGAACGGGCAGTCTAGTGTACAGAAGACCACAAGCAGAGGGTCTACACTCTACCCACCGCTACCCGGGCGCGAAGGGACCATAGAAGACTGGTTTCTGTCTCGTCGAGGTCGCGGAAAGCAGGGCAAATCGTGACATAATATCAGGGAAAGTACCGTATGGTCCAGAACTCAGACTAGGTCGGTCGCCCTGAATCTCATGGAAAGGAAGTAAGACATAATCTGCCGGTTAGTCTAAGGGAGAATTAGCTTATTTCGAAGTGGTAATTACACTTAAAAACTGGATTCATACCACATAGGTCGGAGCGCCCATTCGCCCGAAATGGATCTGGTACAAGTGTCGTGATAGTACCGGAAATTGGGAACAAGAAGGGAGATCTTAATTGAGGGAAACCGGGGAGCAGCAAAAGATCCCTTTCTCTTGGAGCTAGGACCCTGGAGACGGAACTGTCGGAACGAAAGTTTGACCCATCCCTCACCTATGGGTTATATCACCATAACTAAACCAAATAGACCAATGCTGGCTGGTAGGCCGAGTGTGATCACCCGGCCGCCCAATCTGCTCTCCGTCAACCTGCGGATAGTAGCGAGGCTGCTACCTCCTTATCGCTTTTTTTCCTTTTCATCTTTTCAAGCCCCCAATAGGGCTATTCCGAGCGGTATCCACTTTCGACTGCCCCGTGGTGCTTCTTTTTACCTTTTTACTCTCGGGAAACCTGCGGTTTGTGGGATATCTTGAGACGAGAGATATCTCCCGAAATGAGCCACATAGACTACCGGATCACTCTCGATAAGGGGCGGAGATTCAGCCTCGATATAAATGATAAATGGAAGAATAGGTAGTCGAAAAAACCGCGGCGAGGTCCGAGTAATATTGCATTATCGTGCAACTGAAAGAAAAGCCAAGCCTGTCGCCTGCGTCTGAGTAGCTGTAATCAGACGCAGCTGTAACCGAGATCCACTATCTGGCATTCCGGCTTCCCGTTGCCGGCAGAATACCAACCAATTTCACTTGAGTTGTTTGCTTACCTAAAGATCAGAGATGGAGGCCAGCTTCCCCCGCTCCACACTTCCGTCCAGGTACCTACCTCTAGGGTGCCTTTGCCTCTTGGGGCTGATCGAGCGAGGGCCCACACATGTGTGATAGGCTTTCGGCGGCTATACGGGGGGCCATGGCCATGGCCTGCCACATTGCCACGACATACGCGCGATCACCACTTCCATAATGTCTCTTAGTCTGCGCGATCAGCAGTATTGTACTGTACTCACTAATTTTAACATGCTATCATGTTCGTGTGACATATGACATATGTCAAAAGGCTGTGTAGCTGAGTAGCTGGAGGGAACGGGACAAAAGGGAGCCATACCGCCTAATGCCCTTATGTAACGGCGCTGAAGATCACGGCACCAAATCTGTCCGGCCAACATCCAAAACTCCGTGATCAAAACCGGCCCTCCAATTCTATTGTCTCTTGTCCGCGTTAGCTCGTAATTCACTAGCAGGGGTAGTTTCACAAACAGAGACCTCCAGAGAAATGGGCTAGTCCAGGCTTCTATGTATGGCTCTTTAGCGTCAATCCCACCTCTACTAGCCCGGGGCCTCAGGGTCAAGGATTAGCGCCCCAAACCAGGAAATCTGATCTCGTTTACGTGGCCAAAAGTGTAGGAGAGTCAAGCCAGCGGGCCCTACAGGCAGGCAATCTTTTTCTATTGTCAAAAATTACCTTTGGTTTTACCAGTAGTAGTAGTAATGGGAGTGGTAGGCTAAACAAGTGTGAGAAAGAAGAAGAATGTCGGTATCATTAGCCAATCAGGGCTTGCAATTCACCCCTAATGTACTGCTCGACTGTTCTGGATTTCGAACTGTGATCGTCGCTGAGGACACGTCGTTGACATTCCCTCTGTGTTCAATGTGGTCATTGGGTGGTACCCCGTATCCACGCAGTCGCTTTCAGGCCCTTACTACTTCCATGAATTCGTCGGGCGGGACTTGAACACCCTCTTTCACAAAGTAGTATTGCTGCTACATCTTTATCATAAGGCCGACTGACCCTCTATACAGAAACCTGAGCACTGCACACATCATCAGTTTCTCGTGGCCAAGTCTGCCATCTCAATGGAGGGCCACTTTGAATGGTAAGTAGACGAACGAAATATCCACAATCGTTTCTAACGGATATAGCTCTATTTTGTCGGCCACAGTCACCTTTCAAGTTGGTCCGGCTCATGACCAAATCACCGTGGATTCTGCTGCTCTAGCTAAGCTCTCCAAGCCTTTGGAAACTCTCATCAACAATGTGGTGATTGATGCCAAAAGGAAGTGTATCGAGTGGTCCAAGGTCGATTTGAATACCTTCATAAGATTGTGTGATTTCGCCTCTTGAGGAGACTATACGCCGCCATCGCCTCAAATTTTCGAGGCATACTCACCGCCACCACTACCCTCAAAACAGGTCTTGGAGGTTGCTGAGACAAAGAAAGTCAGCAACGACTATTCAACTGGTACTTTCTGGGTGGAAGAAGAAGATGAATTTAGTTTCGAGTCTGCTGCTACAGCAGAAAATGAGCGGAAACCCCTCGGAGAGGTTCCTAATTCTGAGCCTCCCACCAACGTCATCCTGTCCGGCGAATCTGAAATAGCCGACAAAAAGCAAAGCGTGAGCATTCGGCAATTACGCGATACCTCTATCAATCCTCATCCTGGTTCGCTTGGCATGCGCGAGTGTCCAAGGTGCAAGTTGACAGCACCTCGTCATTCCGGCCCCTGGGAAGACTTTACCCCAGTCTTTGTTGATCAAGCTCGACTCTACGTGCTAGCAGATACATATGACATAGTGTCTCTGCGTAGTCTCGTTCTTCCGAAATTACATGCCACACTCAAAACATTCACATAATACCCTTCTGCAGTTGCCGGACTCATGGACTTCGTTCGATTCGTTTACTTAGAAACTGGACCTACCAGGGCTGACGGAGATGACGATAATTTACGGGCTCTAGTAGTGCGTTACATAACCTCCATTTCAGAGCGGATTGCCAACAACGTCGCTTTCAAGGCACTACTAGCGGAAGGTGGAGACTTTGCCGTAGATGCTTGGAAAACTATGCAAAAATTGAGCAGGGTGGAATCTGTTGAATAACACTCGAGCTGTTTGAGTTCGCAGGTGATTCAGAGTATACAACCATACTTACATCCTGTCTCGGGATCGATGAAGTCCGCGAGAGCTCACAGCTCGCTGAGCAGGACTCGTTTGTATGCTACAAAATTAGGGCATCCGAGAATAACACATCATCCGAGTGTAAAGATCATAGACTACAATAAAAGTAACGATACCGGGCGTTTCATCCTTTCAAAGCTTCTTGACCAATTTTCAACACTGAGAAGTGAAAAACAAAGATAGATAGATTCATTCAATTGATGTAGCATTAATAGTCAACGGCGATTTCTGCGATACAAGATTTTCTACATTTCTGGGTCTTTCTATAATCATACTTTCGATATAAGATCACAAGAGTTCAATTTCTTAAGCCAAGGAACATCTTTTGTTAAATAGAGAAGTAAGCCAGTGTGATACGTCGGGGTCCCTTGGCGTTTTGATCCTTCATGGGAAATTGATCGAGTAAGCGATTGCGATTATTTCACAATCGGAGTTGAACGATTCATCCCTGTTATGTTCTGTCATCCTACCACCCACATGCTTTCATTACAATCAGTAGGGCAAAGATTAGGAGGACAAATGAGAAAGTATACATGTCGAAATCGATATGAAAATAAGTATGCTCAATGTTGTTGGGAGAATGCGTCTGTTGGCTTGTCACAGGGCTAACATCGTGAGGAGCTGTGTCTACATGAGCTATGTTGCTCGACCAGCTCTCTCATCACAACTTTCTAAATGCCAGCCTACGTCACGGTTTCAAAGTTCAGCGTATATGGTGCACAAATGATCTGCATCTTGTATAGGATATTTCAATTCGTCTGATAGGCATTTACCGATCCCCGTATCCCCGAAGAGATAGTCATACCGCAAACTTTCCAGCATCATGTATGCCAATTTAGGGAGATATTTGCAGACTTGGATAAAAGGTGAACGAAGGTCTTCGCGCGTTATTTCGATGTTATTGAACATTTGTTGATCTTGGTGTATATATTCCCCGAGTTCATATGCCTCATCCTTTACGGGCTGATTTTTTTTATCAACAAGTTGACCAAACGAAAAAGAATATCTCCTCCCAATATGTATGGGCAGTGCGCTTTCAAAAGGTGAAGGTAAAGTTCAATGTTTAATTCCCAACTCAAAGCATTGTACAGCAAGCCATGAGCGTCCAACTCTGGATTTACGTTGAAGCCCCGCAGCCCTGAAAGTTCTTTCTTATTCTGTGTTGAGATGGCATGGCCGCACCAGCGTGACGCACACCCACGCGCACCACCAGCCAGTAGTTTAGATTGAACCTCTCACCAGATTCAATCTCACCATTTCTTTCTCCCTCTTTTGATCGGTGTTACGTCTTCCAGTAGCCCTCTAATACTCTGAAGACTTTCGTCAATCTTACGAAAGCCTTGGACTTGAAACAGATCTAGAGCCCCCGAAACGTACAGCCAGAGAGGATCATCTAGGCGTTCATTACCGTATTCGAAGATTATCGAGCAGACCTTCCGGCTTTCCTGCGTATCATAATTATAAACATTGTTATGCTCAAAGAAATCTATATTGAAGATCGCCCCATCTTCGAGGAGTTCAGTTACCATGGTAGATCGCAGATGACCAACGGCGTACCAAAGAGGATTACCACAATTAACATTCGCGCCGATCCTCCGAAGAGTGCAATACATCTTTTCATTTCTGCGAGCTCATGCAAAACAAAGTGAGGTGCCAAATTATGAATTGACCCCCTGGAAGGAATTTGGTTGCCTTTTTTGGAGCCAAAAATCAACGATCTCATCCCGTCCTTGAGCAATTGCGTAGAAGAGTCCGCTGGGCCCCAACTCATCTAACAAATATTTCTTCTTCACATAACCGAAAAGACTTTTAAACATCATTAAATTCCCGAAAGAAGCAGCAATTTCCATTATCTTGATCACAACCGACTTCAGGTCACGCGCTTTCTCAAGACCGAAAGGCCCGTGATGTGGATGGTTTCAGCATTTCCTCGAACCAGGTCCGTCTTTTGTAAGAGCGCGGCAAGATCAAATGCCGACAAGGCAAGATCAGGGAAATCATCCTCAAAGCAGCCTGGGTAGCCGTGGAATCTTGTATGCTCACATCTACACCCAATGATGCTGAATTCTTTTTTAACATTGTGACCCTCGCATATAAAATATTGAGATAAAACGTCCTTCAATCTTATCGAATCCTGAGAACGGAAAAAAAGAAGATGACATCTTTCTTGAATTTTTCCAGCTTTAGTAACGTGGTGGCAACAAAATCTTGATCCTGGAGAATTAAGTATTTCAGCAGCTCCTTGATATATTTAAATCCCCTGATCCCGCTGCTACCCAGTCTCGATGCAGTCTGCAAAGCCACCAGGGTCTCTTTTAGATTGTTGTATTTGTATATGGTATAACACGATAACCTTGCTCCGTTCGTCTTATTTGAGTAAGTCTTCACTCAGATGGGATTGTAGGGTTATACGAGAGATCGCAAAGTCTAGGATTTGTGGAATATTAGTCATCTTTCAACAGGGGAGAGTGTACAGAAGAGGCCTCCAGATGATGAACGAACCACCATCTATGAATCGGTACCGTGGCCAGGATTGGGAACATAATTCAAGCCATGATCCAAAAAAAGAGAGAAAAGCTGTTTTATGGACATATAATGGGACCATAGTTCAAAGACCTCACACAGTCCAAGGTGAGTCGCCTGAATCAAAGGACAGGCCAAAAGATTGATTGTGTTCATTTGACGAAAAATAGTCAAATTTGGAAATTGAAACATTTATTTTGACAATTGGTGCTGAGTAACACACCTCCAGATACGCTCGATTCCATTGGTCGACCTTGTTCACATAAGGAGTTGTTCCTAGGAGGAGGGAAGGTAATACCAGTTGACGTTCGGTCTTCTATCCTGTAAAAAACAAATCAATCGCGCTATGATTTTGATAGTATTGTGCACGTGCCATATAGCTTGTTTGAGCTATGCTTTGCGTCACTACCCTGGGATACTGTTGACTATATGGATGGGTGGGCCTAACAGGATTAAAGATGGAGAAAACGTATATAATAGACATAGTACCATTGAAAACCCTTGCATCTCCAAGTAGAATCAGTCTCCCATCTATCTTATACCATGCCGAGCTCTCGCTACGACCTCAGAAAAAGATCGATTTGAGGTCATCACCTCCTCCTATAGCTCAAAGAACAAACAGTAATACGCCAAGCACCAACATCATTGCACACAGTGATGAAGACGAAGCAATGTCAATGATTTCGGTTCAAGCACTTCGTGAACTATCAAATACCCAGATCTTTTATGCGCTGAAAGACCTGAAAAGGTTTACCACAGCGTGTGGCGAGGCAATCAAGATTCTAAGTGCAGCACTGGATGAGTCAGCCTTTAAGCTTTCTGTAACTCTGGACTCAACCAGTCCTATGAAACCGCAACAAGAAATGGAATGAACGTCTTTGCAAATATTCCAGTCGCCACATATATAAAAATGGCGTATCCTTACCGAGCTCCTTCCCTGTTCCCTTATACCGCTCGGGATAGAAAGAGGTTATGAGCTTCAAACCATATTGCGATAAGCCTCTTGGTCACATTACATTAACAAGAAAATGTCGGGTACGCCAAAAAGGGGAAAAAGACCAGATCGAAGAATGGGGTCATTGTTAACAACTACACAATGATTTGGCGACCTGCCTAATCATATGATTTTAAATATGATCGGCATTAAAGTTCTTCTTCCCGTTCTCTTCGTCTTCCGGTTTTCTGCATCTCTTTGAACATACAAGCAGCCCCTAGTTATGACATTAAAAGTGATCTAGCACCGTAGGCAAGGTGTTCGATAAAGTAGCAGTAAAAGACTGACATAATTCCACGCAACTCGGCCATCCCCTTCCAAGCAAGCCACAGAGTCGGTTTTCCATACTTCAGTAAAAACAATGCACGTTTTGTGCATCGCTAGATACCCAACACAGTGGCTAGCCAAAGCTCATGTCTAATTGGTGCTTGGGGGTCCCAACGGACAAAGAACACTACAAACTGAGAGCCCCACACATAGAAAGACTTATTGAGCATGTTGATGGTGGTGGGAGCCTTGATTGTCATGATTAATTCCCTAGCGATATCCGTTGAGACCTGGTTCTGGAAAGTCAGATAGGAAGAAAGTTGAAAAAGGCTGATGTGGCATCGACTGGACCACAACCGTACCCTCCAACAATTATCAATGTTCTGCCAGCACAACCTGGGTGTACATCCACAGTCATTTCATCTTTACCTAGACATCTGCCTGATCAGCCTCTGGTAATCCCGGGTCCTCGGGAAGCAGCGGTACGTGAGTACTGCAAATGGCTAGAATCACGCGCCACCGATGAGGAAAATAAAACAGATTTCAGAAACGTTTGCCAGGTGACGTTGAAGAATCATCTCGATCTTGAACTGATTCTTGAGGATCCAGACGCTGGTTTCTTTGTTCAGCGAGGAATTCAAATTGGAATAGCCCGCCGCTTCCTGCGTGAAATAAATGGACGGGCAAAAGTGACGAGACCAACCGCTCAAATTAGCCAAGGTGCTGGAGATACCCCTGGAAATGCCGGACAAGTTTGACAGCGATTTTTCTCACGCCGAGGTCTTTCTGACTCTACAGTGTGTTAGGAGGTAGGAATTTTGGGCGTAGTGGCGTTACAGTCAACTCTCGCTTATACCACGCCCTGCCATCCAACAAAAAAAGATGTGCTATACACAGTAAGTGAATGGTGCAACAAGTGGTTTGATGACTGATATTTCTGTCACTCAAAAATTAGTTAGAAACTGAGAATAGCTGGGTTCGAACCCATGTTGCTCAAAACCAGAATTACCAGCTACTGTAGGCCAATAAGCACCACTTTATAGAAAACCCCACTATCAGTCCGTACTTCATAAAGCTCATCTCATCAAGCGTCTTCTATTTCCTCCTATCCACTTGTAGCTTGGTAAATGAACCTTTTAAACCTTCTATCGGACGAATATTCTCCTCAGTAGCCCCTTCCTGCGACTAACCTACCGAAGCGAGAGCCCGTATAAGGCTCGAATTTGCGACTTGTATACGAAACTCATCCCAAAGAAAGATGGCCATCTCGTCCATATGCAAGCCGGACTTTTTGGGAAGATGGTCATGCAAGGCTTCTAGCGTCGAAGGGGTAACGGTTCGTCTGCGATCGACACGCCTTTGCGGAGCTTTGATGCTTCCGAACCAGCGAGGGTTATTGCTGATATTAATAATTGCACGTTTACTACATTCAGCGGCTTTGGCCATTTCTGTGGTTGTTAGTGATTTGCTCGATATCATGTCTCGAATCATTTCAAGCTTTGGGTGAGGGAGACTTGGAGCCATATTGTGGAGAGACGGGAGAAGGGTGGATCTGGACGGTGGTAAAGAGAGAATTGGCGAGGAAACCATGAAAGTCTGCAGAGGGGAAAGGGAGCGGATTCATCTGCCCTCCTTGCTGTCCCCTTTTGCCCAGTGAGCAAATGAAATGATTTCGGGGCGAAGATCTGGGGCATCCTGGATAGGAAGTGCGTGCACGTGACTTGGCGGGCTCAGGTTCCGGGGAGCTGAGTGGCACCGTCTTAAAGGTCCTCTCAAAGCTGCGGGCCTCAGAAAAGAGCGGTTAAACAGATAGCACATCGCATTCAGCTATGTTAGTCACCAACTGTGATTTGGTGGTTCTCGAATTCTGCATTTGAATTAATGAGAGATCTCTTCAAGTGATAAGGTTCAAACGTTTTTTTTTGGAAAATATTGGTTGCATATGGTACCAGGGCTCCCTTCGATCTGACTGTTTGGGTCGGGTCGACTCGTTCCTAGGAACGCCCCTCACTACCCGCCCCCACATGGAAGTATGAGCCACAATTATTTTCAAAAACAAATACTCCGTGAGGTGCGCCTACAGTATCCATCAACTATTCACTTTACGACCTCTCTCTTCGGAGCAAATCTGCCAAGGCCTTTGGTTCTGGGAGAAGAGAGAGTGCTTGGGTGAGATATTGAGTACTATTTAGCGCGTCTAAACAATCCGCCTGGTCGAGTGATTCCCATGTATATGGCTGAGAACCCCCTATCTCAGCCTGAGCAATCAGTGCCAGCACAAAACAAAGCTGGTCCCGAAAAATTCCCATGCCAAAAGCGACCCCGACACGATGCCTATACCATCGGTTAGGTATGCGCTCTTCCAAAAGAACAGACAGCAGCCAGAGCTATGCTAGATGAAGAGCACGAACCTCTTCCGACCCCTCGCAATGATCATAATCCATACACCCTTGGCTCAGTATGCGGCCACAACGTCGTCATAGCCTGCCTACCGAATATGGGAACCAACCCTGCCGCGACCGTTGCGACCTCAATGATAAACACGTTCCAGTCGATCAGGTTCGGAGTTATGGTAGGGATTGGCGGCGGAATTCCGTCGAAGGTCAATCTGGGTAATGTGGTGGTGAGCCAGCCTGTTGCGGACTATCACGGTGTTGTACAAGGGGATGTGGGGAAGCTGGAACGTGGTGGGCAGTTTGTCCACATAGGCTCGCTGAACCGACCTCCAAACGCGCTTCTTATTGCGTCGAACTAGCTGAAAAGTAATCACGAGATGTTCGGATCGAAGATAAATGAGTACCTGGATGATGTGGAACAGAGATTCCAACGACTGGAGCCAAAATATACCAGGCGCGAGGGCTTGGAAGACCCATTGTTGGTTTCGAAGAGGGGACGTCAAACTTTGGCCAAGAGCTCTTTTCTGTCTAGCCTATGGCAGGTGGTTATCAGAATGATTGCATATCTTCTTGGTTCATGGGCAATTACCCCGGCAAATGAGGAGAATAGGCAGCTACCACAGAAGGCAAAGGAAGCACGGACCCAAAGCGAAGTGAGGGTACATCATTGCCTGATCGCATTCGAGAACAAAGTGGTCAAGGACGCCCAGTCTCGAGAGAGGAAAGAAAGAAAAGAGAAGAGGCTACAGTTCATCCTGAGTTTTGAGACGGTGCGCGTGGTGTGTGTGGCACACGTGGTAGGCGTAGCACACGTGTCTCTTATCCTCCCATGTCCAATGCTCTCTCTCGTCCTGAGTCCGTTCAGTCCTGTCATGTTCACAACACTCGATATAATTGGCTACTACAAATTCTAAGAGATAAGAGATTATTGTAAGAAGAGAAATCAGTGCAGTCTCATTGAGTGCTAGGAGCTCGGGTACGCTCGGTCGGGGACTTGGCAAACTGAACGTGAGGACACCCAGGATGGGTCACGTGGGCTCTAGCCTGCCGTAAGTCAAGAACGTCATGACTTCGAAGGACTCGCAGATTCCCCCCAAGATAAATGATCCGAGGAGGATAGTTTAGAGGGATTCAAGAGTCAGAGTTGTCTTCTGCCGATACATACGTTGACGCACTCTGTAGCTCATAAGATATCCTTTCCCCCACGTATCACTACCTAATCCTAACCGTCTCTTCTCATAACTCGTATACGACCCAGTCCCCCTCTCGGACTATTCCCCTTTGGGAATTGTCCTCACAATTATAATAGACTTAACTTATATAGCGGAATACTATATAATTCAAACTATAGTAAAAGAGGGATTTTAAATTATAAATATTACTTCTGAGTTAATATTAATTAAACCTTTAAATTATAATAGTAACTTTAATAAGAATAGACTTCTTAAAACATTTTATAGCTCGGGTTGTGACGGGCCAGAGCCCGGTGGTTGACCATATGCTATAGCCTTCCGGATACCGCCTCGGTAGAAGGGGTCTGAGCGGGTTCCTACCCGAGATAGGATCGACGCTGTTGAGGACCGCGACCGGCTCCTATCCTTTCTTCTTTCCTTCCTCAAGATTGTTGTAAACAGCATGTTGGCCTAGTACAATTGAATCAATTCTGCCACGCCCTTCACACGGATAATACTATTAAAAGCTTAAATTATTCAAAAATAAGTCTAAAGTTATAGTAGATTTCTACTAGATACTATTCAATAAGGGATTAGATAAAGAAGAACCTTATTTCACTGGTCAAAATCCTAAGTAAAGATAATACGGCCGATATCTTTATACTACAAAATTTAAGGCTTCTTATTAGCCGACGGGTTGATGCCTGAGGCATTCAGGAATTCTTTTCAATTCAGTCGAAAATTTCTTTCAACCGATTCTTTTCACTGTATTTGAGATCCCTAGGCTGCGTTATTTAATACTGTACCTAATGCTATAGTCAGCTCTCGCGGTGGCCGGTACTATCTCGAAATTACCGAGGTTTACATTGCCTTTACCTACTGCTGGCTGTAACATGTATACAGCAAGCCTCTCACAATAATACTTAAGCCTAGGTCGGGCTTCGGGGGTGATATACGAGCAGTAAAATCAAAATGTGTTGTAAGTCGAAAGAGCTCAAAAACAACCCGAAGTCATTAGTTACTACCAGTCTGCCCGTATGCTGTAATACGACCGATATCATATACTTAGATTCATCCTATACGGTACAAAGATGGCAAATATTGATAAATCATGTCAAACAACCTCTACCGAAGTAAACATTGATCGTATCTTATTGTATACAGTTTGATTCAATCCTCAAATTCAATGAAATGCCTTGGAAGTGCGTTGACATTTATTTTGGTATATTATATATAATCCAGAATCGACTTGATCATTGTTATCATGACACAGTTAACAAGTCACCGTATTGTCGCTTGTGTAGGGAGGCTCTAGCCGGTCACGTGTGAGGCATTTGTGGAAAACAAAGATCATGAAGGGCGAATAATAATTTCCGAGAATACGCGATCGCTCTAGCAGGGTGAGTCAAGTAAAAGGGCATTTTTTATTGCAAGTCTCACACCGAGAGTAAGTATCCCCATCTCCAAATTAGTCGTCTGAATAGTATTCGTCAAAGCCCGTGATTACTTCCTGCCTCCGAAGAAATCACAATCTTCTAATTCAAAGTCCTTGTGTAGTGGCAAAAAACCTAAGATGCAGTTCGGGTCACAGTCATGCTTGACGAAGCGCGCCGGCCCTACCAGAAGGTAATCGTCATCGACGATACTGAATTCTTGCCAGTGGCCTCCATCCTCTCCCTCTCTTTGGGAGCTCGTCTGATGCAAACGGCTCAAAGCAAGTGTGAAATATACTAGAGGTTGGAATTTGGTCTCTTCGTCCGGTTGGCTGGATGCATGCTTGTGTGCCCTCCTGTCTAAAATCAGTAAAACTTGAATCGCCACTTGTCGATAGTCTTTCTTGTATCATCGCCTCAATTTGCGCGCTGTGATTTCTTAGGGCTGAATTGGGGTAAGAAGTTACGACTCTGCCATTGCATAGAACTAAGCTTGCATACGGTATAACTTGAATTGGTGTTCAGTAATCTAAGAGGCTGGATAAACGTACTACTCGATTTGGGAGCTTGCTCTGCTGTCTAATCGCGAGAAATTATTACCTACTGTTGACATTGACCGTAGATCATGATTCTATTCTGTACTTGTCCTGGCGTCAAGATTGACTTTACGTGAATTTTGGACCCATACCTTAGGACTCGTAGAGATAAAGCAGTTTGACAAAATTAAATGATCTAAAAAATACAGTGTATACGTTTTGTCTCATCACACAGCTAAATGTCCGTATCTTGTTAGCACAGGCCGCGGAGTTCCGAAATCGATTGTAGACTTCTAGCCGTGGAGAGCGAGTGAATGCCGAAAATGACCTGACCAGATAAGGTTTCAAAGAAGGCATAAATTCATTATAGTTCTTGTTCTGCGTTCTTTTGAAGATTTCACACGCAGATTCTCGTAGCCATGGAGACGAGAACATTTTGGGAGATTTTGAACGCGAAAGTCACCGATCCATATGGCGACGTCAAAAGGAAATACAGGGCTTTAGGTAAGCTGCGTGTGATAAGCCTTGTAGTCTACCGTAGCTGATTTGCGGAAAGCCTCTCAATTACACCCAGATAGGAACCGAGGACGTGAGGAAGAAGCTACCTTGGAGTTCGCGCTTGTGGCAGACGCCTGGGATAGATATAATGAATTCTTGGGGAAGAAGCAATTAACAGAGCCCAAAGAAAGCAAAAAACATGGGAAGACCAATCATCCAACGGAGGTTCAGCCCGAGTCAGTGCGTAAGGCAAAATCGCCGGCTGCAGCGTCGTCGCCGAAGTTCTCATTTGCAGCATCTAGCAGGCGCAGACAATCCCCGACCAGATTCCACAAGTATAATTATTCAGCAGAGGGGAGAACCGGCACCCATCCACCAAGAGTCTACAGTAAAACTGATTACACTTTGCTAAGTAACAGGAATAGGAACGGAAGCAATGTTTTCAAAGGCCCCATGATGAACCCATGGCATTATAGGATGCGAAGCTATATACCTCCTAAAAATACATGGAGTTCACCTCACGGTCAGATACCAATCGACAATCGAGGCAGAGAAAAGGTGACACCGTGTCGAGGCGATCATGATCCGGATTCGCTGCCAGCCACATCATCACCTATCGCAACGAACTTGCAGTCGACTTCGGAAAATGCGGCCGAATGTGCATTCAATAGTAGACCCATGTCAATTTCGCAGTTTTTGGGAGTACAATTTGAATTCAAGCCCCGCACTGGCGAATGGGTCATTCCAGTACCTGAATCCAGGAAGTTTGAAACTTTTCGAATTCGAAAAATTAAGCAATGTCGAGTCGGAGAATAGGTTCCTTGAAAGGGATTGAAGGAGAATTCGCCTCGTCAACGGACCAGCGGGCCGTTCCAGTGTTCATTCTCATCATGTCACCTAGTGCCGTCTTGTATGATCGCCGTAATTTGCACGCGCCGATTTCTTGGGCTAAATTGGTGTATGAAGCTACGACTCTGCCATTACTTGCACCTGCATATAGATACAGGACAACTCAGATTGGATTGGTGCTTAGTATGTTAAGAACTTTGATGAATGTATTGATTGCCCTATCAGCTTACTTTGCTGTTTGATTGCGGATGCATGTTGCCTGATGTTGACACCACTGTCACGGCGCAGGCCACACATGGTGATGGGATGCAATTCGCGGTCAAATCTACCAAGCGTCGTCTTAGGGCAAGAACCCTAAGAACACCATGAAGAGATGTAAAGGCTCGGCTCGGTACTCGGAATCTGACTGTATGTATTATAGGGACTAGTGAAGTCTCACTAGGACCCCGAGGTTCAGTCCTTGAAATCAGATCCGATAGACTTTCAATGGACCCTCTGCCTCACCAACAGGTTATCTGACCTGCGATGCTGACCCTGTAACATTCACCGCAAACCATGACTTTGTACAGTACTTGTCCTGGCGCCAAGATCGACCTAACGTGAATTTGGTACACATATCTTACGACTCGTAGAGATAAAGCAATTCGACGAAACGGGATAATTGAAGAACTACAGTGTATACGTTGTGCCTCATCACACAGCCATATGTCTGTATCTTGTTCGCACAGGCTTCTAAATTTCGAAATCGATCGTAGACTCCGAAACGTCGGGAGCGAATGAATGTCGAAACATGACCTGTCTACACAAGGTTTCAAAAAAGGCATAAACTCGTCAAACTTTTTGTTTTGCGTTCTCTGGGAGATTTCACACACAGGCTCTTGCAGTGATGGAAATGCAAGTCGATTTTCGGGAGACTTTGAATGTAAAAGACATATACATATCAAAACGTCCAAAAAAATTATACAGTCGTTCTCGAAATTGGCTTGACCGATACAAACTGACAAAGTCTTTCCCGGCCCCACGGCCAAGACAGCGCAGATTTATTATTGAGCACTCCGCGTTAAATTGAGCGGTGTAGTAAAATGCAGCCCGTTTTATTCCAGTATCCAGCGTCCTAAATTACACAAAACACGAAAAGTGTAATATTCCATGGAACAATTCATAGTGCCATGTAACCGCGATAAGTACTTTGTTCTTGATTGAACTCACTACGGAGTATTGTATAGAAAATAAGGCAGTAAGTGTTCATTTTCTGCAGGTTATGAAGCTAGCCAACATATTCTATCTGCGATGTTTAACCCGTCTAGTCAATCTCTCTACAGCCCCCCGGGCCCTCTTAACATGAACATAAGCAGCCTTCTCACTATCTGCCCGTGCTCGCTGGTGTATCTCCTCTGCCTCTTTCAGCTTCCCCTGATCTTTGTAGAGATTCCCAAGGTTGTTGACTGTATCAAACGTGGACGTATGATCGGGACCGAGAGCCTTCTCGTAGCCTGCCAGTGCTCGCTGATACATCTCCTCTGCCTCTTTTAGCTTCCCCTTATCAAAATAGAGATACTCTAGATCATTAAATACTTTCCATACCGCAATACCAATGTTGCCACTTGACCAGTCCCCATGGTGTACATGATTTGCGTGTGGAATAAGCCATTGCTGTAGCACGGAATAATTCCTGTCACTTGAACTTGGGACATTGTATCCAACAGCTATTAGTGCCAGTTCATTGAGCAGGGTCGAATCCGCATTCTTTTCTGTGCTAGAAAGATGAATGCACCAGTCTTGCACCACTGGGTGTCTCGTATAGCTCCCGACTTGTTCCTTAGTCTCTCGCAGCGAGAAGCCGATGAGATTCTTGACACCGGTATTAAACGGAAGTCCGCTCGATCTTGTCCTTTCAAGCCAAACGGGGGCGTCTGAGCTATGGCAGCTGCTTTTTATCAATTCATACCAGATATCTCGATTATCGAAGTGAGCCGATAAAAGGAGCAACTTCGCTGCGTGCGGGTCTCGCTTCTGGATCTCATGGTATGAGATCATCCATGTCTGCAGCAAATTACCCTGTTGGTACTGGCGTTCAGGATTCGATTACAACTGAAGACCGGACCAAGATTCATTGTAATACTGCAAGTACTCAGTAATACTGGCTCCAGTTTCACGCATAAACGCCCCGGCGATGACTATTGCTAATGGAAGTCCATCTAGACGACTAGCAGGAGCAAGGATATATGTTAATGTTAGTATCATACTCGCATCTGCGGGTTCAAGAACTTGGTACCTGTATTGCTCTCAAGTTGGCCAACAGCATCTCTAGCTGGCAAATATGCGCTTTGCAAGAGTAGTTGGGTTGTTTCCTTGGAGTCCAATATGTTGAGCTGAAAAGACTTCCCTAGCTTAGTCAACCTTTGGAGCCGAGATGTAAGAAGAATGGAGCCATGATCGGCAGTAGGGAAGAATTCTCCGATAACATACGCATCGCTAGTAGTGTTGTTAACGGGGGAGTATTGATCGATGTTGTCAAAAATAATTAGCCAGCGCGAGTTTCGCTCTAACGCTAGCTAATTTAACTGTTAAGAGGTCTGTATCGCAGGACAGAGAACCTGTTGGCTAGGCAGAGAGTCCAAGTCTATAGGGTCTGATTTCAAAGACTGAATCTTGGAGTCCGGGTAGACTCCACTAGTTCCCACAATATATACATAGAGGTTCCGCGTACCGAGTCCCTATAGCCCCACATGGAGCGCCTTGGGGTTGTTACCCTAAGGCGACTCGGGGTCGATGCAACAGTGAATCGCCTTGAGTCATCACGTATGACTTGCGCCGTGACAGCAGGCCCTTCTAACCTCGGCTTTTAATTCCTTATCACCCAAACGTGACTGTTGCCAGCTGCTATATTCTCTCACGCCAATATCGAGAAGGCCTGAAATATGAATAGCAGGAAAGTCGACAGAAGAAGCAGTATTCTTCTCTAGAAGTACAGATATTAACAATCCGGGTGCTTATAGGGCTTGTGATGGAGGTATATTTGTAATAGTAATAGGAGGGCGGCTTATCTCGGCGGTAGATCGATTATTAGCCCGCGGTCTATCGAGCCGTTATCTCTCTGCTCTATAGATTTGCTCGCGAATAATACCAGTGTTACGGAAGCGTTCTGGGCGGACACCAACCAACAAGACCATAAAAGATAACTTATATCCGCAGTTGCGGATACTGCCCAGAGTCCGCTATATATATATAGTATGGTATCGCAGTATTGTTCGGCCACGCCGTAACAACCAGGCACATCTTCATACGACTGCAAAACCCCACCGCTATGTATATAGTGTGACGGGCCAGAGCCCGGTGGTAAACCATGTGCCATGGCCTTCGGATATTGTCTTGGCAGAAGAATTCCGAGCGATTCCATCACGAGGTTCTAGAGGATTCTATCCGAAACGGGACCGATACTCCTAAGGACCGCGACGGATCCCTGTCTCTTCTTCCTCAAGATTGTTGTAAACAGCATGTTTGCCTAGTACAATTGAATCAATTCTGCTACAGCCCTTCACATATACTTAACCAAAATCTCTAGCTGATCCCGGTAGAGCTTATAGTACTTTTTTCCATAAGAATCATACCAGCTGTCACGGCGCAAGTCATACGCGATGACTCAAGGCGATTCACTGTTGCATCGACCCCGAGTCGCTTTAGGGTAACAACCCCAAGGCGCTCCATGTGGGGCTATAGGGACTCGGTACGCAGAACCTCTATGTATATATTGTGGGAACTAATGGAGTCTACCCGGACTCCAAGATTCAGTCTTTGAAATCAGACCCTATAGACTTGGACTCTCTGCCTAGCCAACAGGTTCTCTGTCCTGCGATACAGACCCCCTAACACCAGCAGTGCGGCCCTAGTTTATAGGACCCAGAACAACGCATTAAAGCATATATATCTTTCTAGGCAGGGGACTCTCCCGAAGCTGCTTCCTCAGTATGGATCTGTCGGTCTCGCTCTTAAAGCATCCGCTAGGTAGCAGACACAGTGCCTCGTTTATCAGTCGTCGTACTACTTATTTTTAAGCTCGAAGTGTTCTCCACGTAATTAAATGAGACAGCCAGTCTCAGTTCTTTACCAGCAAGAAAAAAGTCTCCCTAATCCAAAAGCTATTTTTCTATAGAGGTCTAATCAATATCGGTTCTATTAAACCTTAGAGTAAGGCCTTTCTGCCGAGTAGCGGATACGACAACAGATATGTTATCCGATTCAAGTTTTCGATATAGATATTTTCGTGTAAATAGTTCCTTGAGCTTTGGTTGCAAAAAGAGCCTCCAGTGAAATCGAGGGGCTAGAACCAGATCTTGTTCTGTATCTTTCGCCACCGTCCTATTATTAAGAGTAACCTTCCACTCGATTAATTAGTGGATACAAGTCGGTGGATCCTCGTTATATATTCGACGTTCCTCCCAATCACCGAACTGGAGTAACGGAAGATTATTCTTTTGGGAAGCAGTTTGTTTTGGAGAGGTATAATAGATAGGGGAGATAGGATCGACGTTGATGCTGCCTATATTGGACGGGGAGGCGGGTGACCAACGGAGGTTGGCGGGCGTTGAGGCATAGCCAGGTGTTTGTGTATAACCGGGTATTAGTGCATATTGTGATATATCGCCCCACGATTCAAGCGACATGCTTCGTTAAATGCCATGCTCATCATGGTAGACAGAACTTTGAGCTATTTTCTTGGGCCTACTGTAACGACAGACTAAGGGTGAGTGATTGTTAGTTGAGGCTTACACCATCAAGAGCCGTTGAGTGGGCTGTTCGCTAGCAAACAACCGCCAACTTGTCAGGATGGTCATTGGCTGCTAATATCACTTGTTGAGGTTCTCTGGGCCAAAGAGACACCCTCGCAAGTGATGACTAGCACACCCTGCACAGAAGGAGAAGGAGAAAAAGATCCCCCAGCAGATCATCGTTATTTGGTGCCAGCTGGCCTTCCCCACATGATTTACAGAAAGACCCACCACAGAATTCCATAGAATTTTATAGGCTTTCTTTCATACGCGTAATGTAATCTTGGATCATATTACTGTAACATACACGGGCGCATTTTAGTGCGCCCCTCGGTTCAATACAGCCTGCTCAATAAATGATCTGCGCTAAGGCCGCCTTGGCAGTGGGGCCAACAAAGAGAGTTTAAGTGTGTACTGGTCAAGCCGATTTCGAGAATGGCTGTAGGAGGTTAGGTAAGTTCTTTGTGATGAGTCTTTTGATCTACCATAGCTGATGAGCGGAAAGCATGTCTATGTCACCTAGATAAAAACCTAGAATGCAAAGGAGCAGCTGAAGATGAATATGAGAATCTCGTAGCGGGCTGGAAAAAATACGATGAAGTCGCGCAGCTGAAGCAGTTTACGGAGTCCAAAGGGTGCGAGGAAGCAAGTGGGAAGACTGATCATTCAACGAGGTTTCACCCCAAGCCAGTGCCTAGAGCGAGATCACGGCTGTATCATTGGCTGCAGAGTCTGAGGAGAACAAGCGACATAAGATCAATAGTGATCGTTCGGCGACGTTTTCATTTGCAGCGTTTAACGGGCGCAGACCACGCCAAGTGACCTATGAGTCTTCGGCCGGATACCACAAGTATCATGGTCCAGCAACATTGAGAACCGGAACCCCTCCATCAAGAGTCTACAGTGGCACCAACAACTGCACTTTACTGAGTAGCAGTAAGTACGGGGGCAACAATCGCGAAGTCCACAATATGAACCTAGAGTTCAATGGGATGCGAAGCAGTCGACCACGGAAAATCCAGCCGAATGTGCCCGTGTCCATTCTGCATTTTTTAGTACAATTCAATTTCGAGCACCACACCAATGACCGGTTGATACAGTACCTGCACCTCTGGACATCAAAACTTTGTAATTTACCATTAAAGAAGCGCAACGTCGAGCCGTAGCCAGAGGTGATTTTCCTTCAAGAGTTGGAATGGGAATGTAACTCACCAACGGCGCTGGGAGACTGTCAGAGTGCTCGTATTTGAGCAGACCCTCAGATCGCACCGCACAGTCTCATTTACCGTTCTGAGTTCAGTGCCGAGAGAGTACTGATTTCAAATCTAGGATTTACGTGAGAACGGTGATTGACGCATAGAAGCTTACAACCAGAGCGACAGTAGTTGGCCAAATACCCGATTTCACCAAAGTGAAGGCGGAAATGGGATGTTTGCTTACTAATGTTTTATTGAATAATACAAGATAATCATACTGATTGTTTGTCCTAGTTGAGGCAAGCAATTTGGGTGACTTATGTGGGTTACGATAGGGTAGCAAGAGGCCTGTACCTCAATGGACCCATGATTTGTAGTCCAGGCCTCGCGGACTCACAGACTCGCGGTCGCGTCTTTATTTTCTCAATTGCTTTGAATGTGCCTGCAACATACATTCCGCCGCGCCGCGTCCCGCTAGAATCGTATTTGTGGACCATTGTGTTGGTCCAGACGAAATCGTGGCTCCTCAAACAGAACGAGACTCGAATGGCGTGATCCAGTTTTGTACATAGAGCCAGACACAGAGCTATGTCAGTAACTTATTTGGAAAGACGAATTCGCCAATGGCTTTTACTGTTCTGATGAATGAATCCCCATCGAACTCAGGCGTACGGGTCCTGTGTACGTCACTCGAACAAGACTTGCACCTTTGCGCGGTGCTCGGGACAAGTATCCTATATGGTAAAACCAAGTAAGTCTCTCTAATATTATAGTATCGCTATCTGTCCTATTTTCACTTGTCAAACCTCTCGAGGTTTTAGTCTCACCAATTATTCAGCTTAAAGCTTGGAGCACTTACCTATAAAACGGATCTCTTTCTTGTAATTGAGCATCATTGTGTGGAGACCACCACTCCAGTCACACATGTAGATTGTGTATGACAGTCAGTCGTCTGTCTGTCAATGAACTATGGAACATCGTCCAAGTTCAGATTTTTCAGAGGACTTCAAGCTCTTACACGGTAATATCAAAATCAGCTCGTACCTGATAGCGTCTAGGTCTCATGAGTCACCCTATAGCACTGATTGTTTATGCCTCTGAGCATTTATGGTCATTGCAACAAATTTCTAACTCAATCGGATCATTATGTCTAGAATTTCTTCTATAACTCAACTTCACGACTAACCAGCCAAGACTCGTAGACTATTCTGGTGTCTTTGAGGTTCCAGTTTTTTTACCCCATTTTGAATAAACGCCACCCGGAAGTCCCGGTAGAACGATCCTACGCGGCCAAACTCTGGATCGCAGACTTGATTTCCTCGATATCAACCCTCGGGGTGCTCTCAAGGTCATTTGAGATAGATTTTACTGCGGTAAGTTTGACCTTGATATGTAATTTCCCCAGATCATGAACATCTTAAAAATGTCAGATGAGAATGCAACAGATTAGAATTAATATCCAATAATGCAAATATCACGGTTTCAGGACGGGGGATTGATAGACGAATTCAGTTCAAGCTTTCCATCGGATACTCTCGGAGAGCCCAGGTTAAAGACAATTAGTCTATATGTCAATTTCATCATCACCGGTCACCAAAAGAATGACATGCTTCCCTGGGCCCAATTCTTTGGCTATCTCCATCGCCTTGATCACTGCATGACTGCAATCCAAGCCGGCTTTTATGTCCTCGTACTCAGATAAGATCTCCAATCCTCTGCGCGCATCTTCGTCGGTTGCGGTATATATCTCGACTCGACCATTGATTTTCCAGTTGGCGACCTCTGGACCGACGACGGTGATGTTTAGATCGGGGGAAATGCAATTAGAGTCGAGAATTTGGCCTTCGTCATTTTGTAATACTAGTGTTTTTGCACCATGAAGAACACCCACTTGGCCTTTAGTCAGTGGTGATGCTCCCGCACTTTCGACTCCGACGAGTCTTACTCCTGCGCTGTCGATGAACGGTCGAAAGAGGCCAACTGCACCGGTACCAGTACCGACGGCGGCCACTAGTGCATCTGGTTGATCTTTAGACTCGACCTGGAATTGTTTCGCGACTTCGGCGCCAAGACGCTGTTGAAAAGTCGCCGTCATTCCAGGAATAGGATGGGGACCCGAAACGCCCCCCATCAAGTAGTACACAGTATCATAGTAGAGAGCCGCATATCGGAAAGCCTCGGCGATTGCAGTGCGTAGCGTGGCAGCACCATATAGACATCGCGCCCTCAGGACAGTGGCGCCGAGCTTTTCTATTTCATGAATGCCATTCTCTTGTTTCTCAGCGTCATCGGCCCCAATAATCACAACGCACTTCAAATTGAGATGCGCGCACATTAACGCGGTGAATTTCCCATGTTTGGTCGAGGCACAGTCCGTCACGACTTCCTTACAGCCCATCCTCTTGGCGAGGGAGAGCTGCCCGGTAATATTCCAGGCTTTGTGAGAACCAAAATGCTCCAGGTCTTCGCGCTTCATCCAAAGTGTGGCCCCCCCTATGTGATCCGTGATTTTTCTAGCTTGATATAGGGGGGAACATTGGGGGGAACTCAATCGTATCAGTCCATTGACCTCTTTCCAGAAGGCATTGTCACCCATCGCGCTCTCGAAAGCTATCGTGATCCTTTCCAAGAAGCCAATCATCAATTCTGGTACATAGCGACCGCCTAATGGAGGGCTGCCTGGAGATACGTAATACTTTTGAAGCACAGATGACATATTTGGTATCTGGGTGAGATGCCGAGAAGTTGATCCCGCATACTTTGTATTTGACGCTGGAGATGATCTTGCGTTGCTGCCTGTGAAGCTATCGTTCATGTTGTATTTGCTGTGCGCTATTTTGGTGTGGACGGCGGGACCATCGACTACCCAAAAAGGGATCTTTGACGGCGAAGCGGATGTTGTTCCTGTTCGAATATAGTGAGGGCCAGAGACTGCCGTATATGGTTGAGGCCTTTTCTGATTTACATAGCTCATAGGCCCAAAACTTTCAACTATTATGATTTTGACGTTAGCGAGTCGACAAAGTTCGGAGAACACAAGTCTCTATACCGCTACAACATACTTCTCGTAGGTTGGGTTATGTTCGCGGGCGTCATGTTCGCGGGCGGTGCGTACGTCGCCAGGATCCCAGTGAACTGATCTCTGGGGCTGTGGTCTTTTTGAGGGCTATTGCTGGACAAGATGACAGAGGTTCGGTCCTTGTGCTACCTTTGTAATGTCTTTGCACCAAGTCGAAGGGGTCTAATTTTTATAAGTAACTACTACTGTACATGAATACAAACGAAAAACCTTGCGCTCAATTCAATCATATCACAAAGCTTTGTATACTTTGGTCAATGTTACGAGATCTATTGTCATCTACACACTCGGCACTTTGGCTTACTTGTTGGCATTATCTTTGTAGATATCAAAGGCTGCGTCGTACTTAGTGTCTCGAGAACGTTTAGTGAGATATTATATATTTACAGTATTTACGCCAGCATCGAGCTGACACTGCAGATATAGTAAGCATTTGCGATAACACTTCTTCTCAGTCGCACAATGACACGGACATAGTGTTTAGTTACTAGCTCGTCTTTCCATCGCTTGTTCTTTAGTATCACGGGGCGAGCACTGATTAATGCTATGGCCAACGTTTAGGATGTCGGATTTTCTTACCACGGGTATCTACCAGCCGCCGACTTGCGCAAATGAGTCATTTTTAGCAAAGACCTCCTTTTCCTAGTCAAGACTTTCCTGTTCCGACTTCATTTTGTATTTTGGGTCTTATGCGCCAAATTAATACGGGTTGATATCACAGCTTACCTCGAATTCTATCTTCTGACGATACAGCCATGTTCCAAGTCGCGAAATGGGAAAGAGGCCGGAGGCATTATCAGCCTTTGTTGGATTTCTCAAACAATATAGCAGACTTGAGAAAGTCACCGAATTGACATTAATACCATTCTGCGACCGAGAATTCACTCCTAGATTTTTTAATGAAATGACAAATCGGCAACAGATCAGTATCGTATGGGAAAATCAGAATCCCCTCAATGTATTGCCAAACTTGTCGACATCCATCCACGCCGTGGGTTGCGAGTGGTGGAACAGAAGCATAAACAAATTGTGGTCTTGTAGCTACAGAGTTCCATTCAAGGTCACTGCCTCAGATAATAAGGAGGGCTTGACGATCACGTGCGACTGTATTTTGGTTTAGTGGATGAGATGATGTTGCGTGGGTCGGTGAGTTTTTGGTAATGAGACTTCGAAACGGCCTTCCCAATTCACTCTCTTGAGACAGAAGAAATAAGCAAGGACGGTGTTAAAAAGGATGCTGGAGAATCTATAGAGCAGTTGTGTCTTTCAATCTATTCTTGCTATTAAAGTACGGCTGAGTGGTACCATCAACAGGACAATGACAATGAGACCAATGAATAAAATCACTGCTCGTCCTGTTGGGTTTGTTCGCAATCCCTCATCGTGGACCCGTATCAAAGAGGACTATTATACATCAAACATGATCGTGTTGAAAGGAGCCAATAGAGATACTATTCCATCGTATCACGTTGCTTCGTCTGCCTTCGCTGCACTTAGACTGACGTGCCTAGTGAAAAATCAGCTCATTAGACCTGATGATGTCAGGATTGGTACAAGGGGGGAGGTCCCTTATCTTGCGTTTCTGAGGGATAAAGCACAGAAACCATTAAATGAGATGCTGGATTACTGTTCCGACTCAATGGTTTGTTATCGCAATTTCTCGCATTTAAAATTGCTTTACAAGCAATATGTTGCAGATTCAAAGGAATCACTTCGACAGCTGTCAAAGCGGCGATTTCTGAAATGGACGCAAAAATCTATGTATAAGGAGCAGATTTACTTATCGTATATCTCCATATTATGCTCGCTTATCGATGGCCTACTGGAAAAATTGCATTTTCAAGATTATCAAAGTGTTGTCTCCAAATTCCAGGAGGAAGTTGACTTTCTTCAAGATCAATTCAATGCCATGTTGCTGTGGCATCGGAAGCATCGGATACCCAATATGTTGCTTCGAAAGCATCGGCGCGACAGATAGGAATAGACCTTCAGAATATGGCCAGCGGGACAGGGGTTTCTAAGTGAGCTAATTGACTATCCCCTAATTATATGCGCAGTGAACTTAAGATACAAGATTCCCTTGAGCTTCATATACTGAATAGAGACCAGTCTCTTTTTCTAATGTTGTCTGAAGTGACCAACTGGCGTCCCCCTCGTATCGATCGATGACGTGCGAGCTCAGCCAAAGTGGTTCTTGCCGGATCTCTACTCTCTAGTTCGCGGGGAGATGGGAGATATTGCTCAAGACTTGACTGGCGTTACTTTCCATTCTATACAACTGTGCTGCCGCTGCTGCGGCTGGCCCTCCCTTTTAATTTGCGGGACATGAAGTACAAGTTGTAGTAGGGAACTATGATATTTACCGATTACATCAATAGACCCCCGTAGACACCCTTTAACGTAAATTAAACCGCAAATCTATGATGCGAGTTCATATTGTAAAGACGCTCGCGCGAGTCACCCGACAGAGGGATCACGTGATATGATCGGAGATCAAGACTGATCACGTGGTTGAGACAGAAGCAAACATCTGGGAGACATAAGAATTTAGACCTTGACAATGACTCAACAAGGCTCGTCGAACGAGCCTAGCGGGCAGGACTTGTAGTAATGAGGATCGATCACGTGGTGATCGTATTACCGAGCGTAAAGCTTGCGGGTACTCGCGTGTAGGCGCAAGCCGGTTTCCTAAGCTCGTACCCGCGAGCGCTAAAACCGTGAGCTTAGAGCTCGCGGGGTCGCGGGCTTCGAGCCATATTATAATATTTAGAGATTCAAGCCCGCGCTCGCGAGCTTTAGCAAGGTCTAGGAGGCATCACGTGATGTGATTTTGTGGGGGGGGGGTTCAATTCTGCCACATTCAGCCAATGAGAGCACAGGAATAAAACATCAAGCACTTACATGAGGAGCAACTTCTCGTTCCACTCCAATTTGCAATTATTGATGGCTTCTTATCTCGAACGATAAAAAAATCCTATGAGAGGTTTATGGTTCGGCGGCAATTCGATTCTAAAGGTTGATTAATTATACTAGATTGGGCCAAATTCTTAGATTTGAAGCAATCAGGGATATGCGATACTATAAGTAATTTACATGGGCCACTCTTGAATCTTGATGAGTGAATTTATCGACATTCGTAATATGCGCTAGAGGAGGAAAACTAGGAAAAACTGAGCCCGAAAACGCTCAGAGCGACGGAAGGGGGAGTTGGGAGCTTCGGAAGGTCAATTAAGCCCCAAGAGGCACAACTTCCAGGCTCACAACAGGCGCAAAGTCTCTTTATCGAAATTGTAGTCAGTACTTGCGAGAAAAACTTGCCTCACTTGTGGGATGTCTACGCTCATTTCATGCAGACTTGTTTCTGTGTAATCGCAGCTCACCACGACCTTCAAAGACCGATAACTTGATAGGTTTGAGGCTCTTTGATGAGATACGGCTACGGTAGGGGCAGCAGTATCGATGTGTGAGAGGGATGAGGAGTGAGATTGCTGTGGGGGAGAGATTCTACCTAAGCTATTGGCCGTGGCGAGTGGCAGAATCACATGTCATACAAACACTCTTGACAATCTGGTCTTCGGCGTCTGCAATGGCAACAAAATATCTCTGACTATCGTCGGGTTTGAGTCAATTACCGAAGGATTCCTTTACAAAGGACTGTATTCATCTGGGAGAGGAAGTGAATTGAAAGTGAACTATATATTCACTCAGATTGCACGTATCTAGAATGTGTTTGTGACTCCATGACTATTATTCCCGTGGTTAGAGTTGTTGTGAAAACTCAACTGATACATATGGGACTGAATAGCGCGTATGTCCCTTCTATTGCCGTTGATTTCAGTAGCATCAGTGAAACCCACAAGTTGCTATGTTGATTGCTATAGCTGGTTTATGACATCATGCTGATTTTCTATGATTCCCGAAAGACGTAGATAATCACTGTTTCCATGCACAAAATCCGTCTGGTATTCGATTCCATGGCCAAGCAGCGAGTGAAATTCATATGGCAAGATTCTTTTAATACATTCAAAACTAAATAAGATTACTCTCTCCTTTGTACTGATAGACAGGATTAGTGGATACACAAAAAAGCGCATTGTTTGTCAATATCAGCAGAGTTTCATCCCCTCACAAAGGTGACGGGGTCGGGAATCTGTACACTGTACATAGTGAGCAATAGAAGTATCAAATTTGCAAGTCCTTCGTACCAGTCCAGTATTCCACTTCATTCATTGCCCATGCTAGCTCTTCGAAGACCGTTTCATCATCTCGGCCTCTCTGAGAACGTATGGCTAGTCGTAGAGCCTTGGAGAGTCGTTGTCGGGCTTTCAAACTATTGCCCCAGGTTCTCGATCTTGATATACTCGATAGTGCTTTCCAAAACCGCCAGTCTTCACTGCATCTCTTGACGTAGGACCAGCGTTTAAAGTCTTGCAAAAATTTAAAGGCCGAGATACAATCTGATAACAAAGTCAAAGCTGAACTAGATCTGTGAATATGTTGACCCACCATATATTCCGTGCTCGATGGGAGCATTGATGGGATCCATCCTTACTACCATTTGCGCTCGGGTGCATTCACACCAAAAGGAGACAGCAATGTGCCTTCTCGAGCGTTCGTCCACTCATTATACTTATAGATTGATGTGTCCTCTACACCTTCAAAAAATATGACCCGGTGTACGGTTCAACGTCAGTAAAGAGACACGTGCCCCGAATAGGACATTGAGATCCCTTGTCACACATACCTCTAAGCTGGACCCACTGCTGTTCGTTTTTTTTTTCTATTTCTCGTATCTCACCACCGTACTTTTTTTATATGTAACGCTATCCTGCCCATTAGACGGCAAAGAGTGTCAAATTTTCCTATTCAGCTAGTCCATCACCTTCGCACAGCGAGCTAACACAGCCTTTGTGGTAAAAATTTCATCAACTTACGTACTTTGATATTACACTCCAGTTTGCCATCACTGCATGTTTAAATTCTCATGCAATCCTATGATCCCGACATGGTTTGAATCTTTTTGATATTACACCTGTTATGTCAAGCTGATATTGTGAGTAATGATAGAAATCAATTTATTCTCAAAATTGTCTCAATTGAAAAAATTACTGATATGACAAGTCAAATATAAAGCTGAGTTGAATCCGATCTATATTTAGCATTTTTTGCATGAAAATTCACCTCGCATCAGATTTCAGTGGTATGTATTTTTAATAGCACATGCAACTTCAAGATACCTGAATACTTTACCGGCCGCCTGTAGTGCTTGAATACCGCGACACCTCACTGATGTTTCAACGCTGAGAATTGTGACGTAAAGCTACTTGCGTAGTAATCAGTTGCTTTAGGTATCTCTTCAGTGATCAGGTCGAGTTTACATAACCTTCAGAATTCGGCCGAATACCGCGGGGAGTAAACCATCATTTAGATTTTTGACTAAACATTGAAAAGGTCACGGGGTCAAGACGTCATCGAGTGAGTGAACATTTCGATTCTGTTCTTTTCACATCCACTCTAATAGAATCAGAATTCATCCAAATTTTGTCGCTCCAGGAAACACTTTGCGACTCTGCATTTGTCATAATAGTCCCTTAAGTACTATTTTTGACATCATTAATGCAGTCAGGTCCCATCTTGGTTCGTCGAAAACCTGATACCCATTGCATCCTATAGTAGACTGTATGATTACAGATACTTCATAAAAGATGCCCAATACAGCAAGGTCTGATAGACTTTGCGAGGGCTGCGCCATCTTCTGAGCATGATCAAGGAGTGAAGTTGAGTACTAGGCTTTGTCATTACCAGAATTTTGCTAATTTTTCTGAAACATTATTTACGTAGTCATTAATGTCTACTCGCAAGGACGAGGACCTGAAAATGATTTTCTCAACGAGTTTATCTCTTTCATTAACCAATCCGGTATATCGGAAAGTGATCTTCGATCTACTATCAACTTTTCGGTAAGAAAAATCAGTCGAAAAACGGCAATTAGCCAGAAAGACTCCTGCGAGCTTGATCGCGAAACCTTTCGCCACCGCTGAAATCGCCTTTTGATTTTCATTGGGTCCGTTAGAACGTCGCTAGATGACACAAAGTATGTCAATAATAATAAGTGCAGTTGTCTGGGAGTCCATTCAAGAACTTTTATGCCCATTTGGTAGGAGCTAAGCGTTTGCAGTCGCGGGTTGGTGGTCCGCATCGCTGCCACCCAAGGCGTCATCCCGAGATTGAAGGGCCCTCCTTGAGTACCGACCGTCACGTCCTGCTGTAACACCGTATTCTATTCCGCGCCATATTATTCATTTGTCGCCCAAACCGCGAAGAGAGCGACATCGCGAGGTGAGATTGAATCGCAGTTAGCGCCACATCTCGGCTTGGCCATGCCGAACTGCGGATATTAGTGATCTTTTATGGTCTTGTTGGTTAGTGTCCGCCCAGAACGCTTCCGTAACAAACTATCCGCAGTTGCGGATACTGCCCAGAGTCCGGTATATATAGTATGGTATCGCAGTATTGTTCGGCCATGTTACGAGTTAGCGGGGGTTAGCGGACTTGGGTTGCGGGGGAGTTAGCGGACTTGGATTGCGAACTTGGATTTCTTCTGCAGAAGAAATCAGTATCGGAGGGGAGATACCGCTAACCACGCGCACCAAGGGAGATACCGTTAACCACGCGCACCACCTCAAAAACTTGGGATGTACTGTAGCTTCTTCTTCCTTCCCTTTTTCCCCTCCAGCTCTTGAGATCCTTGAACACCACGCAGACAGTTTGAATGAGAGTTTATGAGTCCTTCTGAAGCTTTTCCTAACTGGCGTACAACACCGCCGTTGTAATACAATCCCCGTTTCCCAACCTTGGAAACGGACACGGACCAGGCCGCATGAAAGGTGGCTGGATATGTTACAGCCGTTTATCAGCGCGCATAAAGCCGGTTTCTCTGAGATTTCCAACAACTCGGTAAAAAAGGATGGCCTTGTTTGCTGGTGGCGGACTACGAAAAAGAGCGCAATATGTGCAATGACCAGCGTACCGACCGGATTAAGCATTGATGTACCAGCCGATTACGAGATTTTGACAGACGAGGTCTTCAATGTCGCTTTCTTTCAGTCGCCTGCCAAAATTATCGTTGAATCAGGGGAGCATTCAACCACGCTTAGCGCACCATCAGGAATTAGAGCTCGCAGATGCCCGATTGGCATCGGTCCCCGGGATTTCATCGCTTCACGTGACGCAGGGGTGGGTCGTCTTGTCCGGTACAGCCTCTCGAGACATTTCCGATACTTGCCAGGAAGGAGTTTACAAGTCGAACGCGTAAGTAGGGACCCTGTAGTCATTTAGTTTGGTCGTTGTTAATACAGTTATCAAGATAACATCAAACTCTCGGCTAGGCTCAACATGGATCCAGGCTTTCTGATCAGGCATCACCCAATACGCTTGCACCGATTATCCCTTCCTGAATTTTTCTAAATATAGCGACGTCGTGGAATAAAACATGCAAGATCCTGAGATCTTTCTTGTTTCACACCTTCAGTATCGCTCTCGACACTTTCTTGACGTTGACAAGATGCGCTTTTTCTTCTATTTCATCTTGAGCTGCTTTGTTACCGTTCATATCAATGCCATTTCACAGTCCTGCAAGACATACCGGTCGGTGGCGTATTACACGAACTGGGTTATTTTTCCCTGTTGGGTGGTGTTGAGCAGAGTTCCCGGAGGTTCCTTGCTAACGTGTCCATCTAGTCTGTATACGGAAGAAAGTTCAACCCCCAAGATCTCCAGACGGATCAGATGACACACGTCCTATACGCGTTCGCCAACATCGATCCAAATACCGGAGGGGTATATCTTTCCGATAAATACGCTGATGTTGAAATGCATTTCTCAACTGATTCCTGGAACGATCTTGGAATAAATGTCTACGGCTGTGTAAAACAGCTCTACCTTTTGAAGAAGAAAAATCGTAATCTCAAAGTCTTGCTGTCCGTTGGCGGGTGGACCTATTCATCGAACTTCAAAAAAGCACTTAGTACTGCAAGCGGTCGGGCGACTTTTGCATCATCCTGCACGGATATTGTGAAAAAATACGGATTTGACGGTATTGATGTCGACTGGGAAGTATGGCACCTCCGAGGCCAAGCCATAAAGAATTCATGTTCTAACGATATTCAGTACCCAGAAACGAGCGATGAAGCTTTAAACCTCGTTGCCGCACTCAAGGAACTCCGTTCGGTGAGTAGAGTTCCCTGCCCTGACTGCAACCGCAAATAAACAACCCAGACGAGTGCTGAGCCGAATATGCAGAGTCTGGATCAGTATGCAAGTTTAAAAGCCAACCATTATCGCTTTCTGATCACAGTTGCATGTCCAGCTGGTAAGTAAGGCAGCCACCCGCTCTTCAAAGACTTCACTGACCGCTCGATCATACACTAGGGGCTAAAAATTACCAAGCCCTTTATATTTCTGACATGAGTAAATACGTTGATTTCTGGAACCTGATGGCATACGACTATTCCGGAAGTTGGAGTCCGGTAGCAGGTCACACCGCGAATGTTTACACATCAACAGAGATTGCTTCAAGTACACCTTATAATACTGATCAGGCTATTGAGTACTATATTTCACGAGGCATCTCGGCAGAAAGCATCGTTTTGGGCATGCCGCTCTTCGGCCGTTCGTTCATGCATACAGATGGGCCTGGTCACCCTTACCAAGGCGTGGGTGACGGGAGCTGGGAGAAGGGAGCGTGGGACTATAAAGCCCTTCCTTTGGCCGGCTCGACGGTTCATGATCTCGAGCAACCGATAGCCAGCTATAGCTACGATCCGTTGACTAAAATGATGGTGAGCTACGATACACCAAAAACAGCCACACAGAAAGCGGACTATGTGATCAGAAAGGGCCTAGGCGGCGGAATGTGGTGGGAAGCCAGCAGTGACAAAGAGGGCTCTGAAAGTCTGATAGCTTCGGTGGGCATTCTCTACTACCGTGAAATGTGCTATCTATGGCATTACTAATATCTCTAGGTGATCAACAAATTTGGAGGCGTGGACGCTCTAGAGCACGTTGAAAACCAGCTAAGCTACCCAGAATCACCGTACGACAATCTTCGGACCTAGGTCCCCCACGTACCCAGCCAGCTCGTAAATCTCGAAAGTCAGAGTAGCGGCATTGATGTCTTTAACAATCTCATTTGTTTTTCATCTATCAGTACATGCCATGCGCCATGGCAGAAATTTACCGAGAGAAGCTCCAAAACGAGCCTACTTCCAGACCGAGTTAATCATTCCTCTCTCTTTGCTTCCCCTGCGTAGATCTAGCGTAACCATTTACATTATGAGGTATGGACCGCTGATAAAGCACGGGGGTTGATTCGTATTTATTTTCCACTTTTGAAACAGAGACTGATGAATCGGAGAATACATAACTACTATCTAAGCTCAATTTGTGAGGGAATCTCTACCCTTCTCCATCTACAATCAGCCACGCGAGGGGCATGTATATCGTAGAGTATGATTGCAATAACCTCATACCCCGGGAGAAGTGAAAACCCCGGTTCGTGGATTTTCTCTCGGCCAACCTACGATCATGTCCTCACAAAATGGCGTGAGTCTGGCTTGAGTGAGATTGGGCCGTCGACCACGTAACAGTACTTGGCCTTGAGATCCACATTGCGGTCTGTATAGCTGCGTCAAGACGAGGTAGCTCAGCGGCGATGGCATTGTTGAGTCAATTATTTGGTGCTAGAGTATGAAAACCCCGTATGTCTGCATGTGTAGCCTCACGCGATAGACGAAAGTCTAATTGCGGAGCGAAGCGACGCTATAATAATGGCGCCAAATTTCACTTCCGGCAGAATCCTTGCTGTCTGATTGGCCGTGGTTTGTGTACTAATCTTCGGGTAGAACCACCTGACCTGGGTCACTCTCTTTTATCTTAAAACGCCCCTTAACTATGTCCCCAGGAGCCAAATTTCACCTCCGGCTGGATCTTCGGCCGCTGATTTGTTCTTTCATGGGTAAAATCATGTGAATTTAGTAAAACCACGTGACCTTGCCTACTCTCCAGTCTCCAGTCTCCACTCGACTCTCCTGCTGCCCGCTTTTGTTACAGGCGGCGTAGAACATCAAGAATTGCGCCGGCAGTCAACAGATTAATTATAGCAGTTGCTTCACTCCACAGTTCCTTCCGAGGAGGAGGAAGTCTCACCCTAGGAATACTCGTACATGAAGGGGTGGTTGACTTAATAGATCCATATAACGAGAATTTTGTACAGTGTCAAAGAAAGATGCGTGCTTTAGAAACGAAGTCTCACTTTCTAGAACAAAGGTGGACATATCTATAGCTGATGCTTCGAGCAGCCCGTCTTTCCAGAGTTCTTGTAATACAAAAGGTATAGTGTGTACTGTGTACTGTGTAGTATATCTTCACTAGTGTAGCGAATTGAATACAAGAAATCGATCATAGACTATGAGCAAGCGGCGTAGGCGAGAGACGTTAGGGCCTGCTAATGTTAGTGAATGCCCCAGTATAGGTCTCTGGAATATCCCCGGTGAAGGCAGGTCGCCAGATTAATCTCCAGTGTCTTCGTTCACGTGAAGATACCAAGAATCGCCGCAGTAAGTCTGCTTGCTGTCTTGAGTGTTGACGAGATTTCAAGCGCGTACGATATAGTTCAAACTCAATGAGTCTCTATTCTTGCTCTTAGGTTTGTTTGGTCAAAGACTCCGGTAATGTGAACTCGGTCGATCAACATCCTAGAGACATCCATACAACGAAGTTATCGAACCAGATAGAGCAAGCAGTCGGGTCAGCGAGGCTTAGTCCGTGGATATCGCCTTTCATGATATGGTATAGAAATGATTAAAGCTGTTCGCAATGGCAGACAATCAAATATGCTCTGTAATGGTCTAGATCTCATCGTGATATGGTCTGGTGTGGCTGTTACAGTGGTAAGTGATGCAGTTGAGAAGTTCGCAATGTACCCCTCGGCTATTAGTCTATTGACCAGTGACCAATGATCAAAGATTCAACCGCAGTGTGGTAATAAACCTGATTGATCGATTACTAGTGTATCTGATTCTCAGAAGAATAATGATGCGAGCTTCGGCACAGCCTCGGGTCAAAACACTGGATCTAATCACAACCTCTTGGTGTCTGATCACCGAAGGAGGTGTGTGCAATGTTGATTGTTCGAAAGCCTTCGAGAAATGCCAGTATAATTCTTGCTGATGTCTCCTTTGATTCTGTATGAGACACTTCGAAACTTCATATGGCGAAAATGTCTGGAAGATCCCAAAAGGCTGATTCGGTCCAATGGCGGCGGCTAGAAAACGATCAGTCGACATCTTCGCGTGATTGTACTATACTTGAGATTCGCATACGCATCGAAAGATTCGTTCGACGAGCTTCAGAGCGAGAATCAAGAAACACATCGCGAGTCATCCAAGCACGCAATATGCCATATTCTTCGAAACCTGGTCTGTTACTCTTTATTAAGCGGTTACGAAAACAGGACGGCGAGGGTAGCTGAACTTAGGCAAAATGAGATCCACTCTTGTGCGGTATCTTGCTCGTGATTTATAGCAAAGCTAAGTAAATTTGAACTACGGCTGCAAGTGTTACGATATCATACCAGCGGCAGCAAGGACTACGCTCATATTAGGAATTAATTGGGTCAATGGGAATACTATGATTTCACAGCCATGAAACGGTTACTGATTTGGGAGTGTTGTGATGAGATATTCAACGCAAGTTTCCTTTTCTTTTGATTGGAAGACATGCTACATTACATTGAATGATTTTTCCACCCTCCATGTCAGCTATCAGTTGCTTCAGTGCACAAAAGTGGAGGAACATGCGGCTATAATTTGGTTTGAAGCCGGTTAATTCAATAAAAGAAGATCCCGCAACCTGACTCCCTGAGCACACTCCACATTCTCCGAGTAACCCTGTCACGCTAAGTCCCGTCAATTCTGCTCCCTTAGCCAATAACACATGGATGCATGGAAGATTGAGGTTTGCGATGACTATTCACAAGTGCTGAGCAACTCAGCTAAGCCCAGCCAATTCTTGGGAACGAAACAACAATTGTATTACTTTACACAACCTTTGCAAAACGTATATCTGAAAAGAGGTATACAGACACTTATATATCATCGAACTGATTACAGCTTTGTCTCAAACAACATCTTGGCTTGAAGCCATAGCTCGATAAGACAATTTACTGCGCATCTCTCAGAATTCACACGAAGAGGTTTCCATTATCAAACATTGGAGCGCGAAATATTAAGTAATTGGTAAATCAAATGACAATGACGTCGATAGAATGAAAAGTCAACAAAATAAAGTATAAGGGAAAATTCTCTAATAAAGATATGGTCTATATTCGATTCCCTTTCTTCGCGCGTTTCAAAGCAGCTCAGCTACGAGCAATAGCACCGTGAAGTAGATGCGGAGGGATGCTGCACTCTGTCTCGCGTGCAAAACGGATAGAATGGCACTGAGGGACGAACCTGGTGAAGGTCAAAAATCTTTGCCTGGTGGCCATGTCATCAATAAAATAGGGCCTTTGTTACTCTGGAACCACAGTTCTTCATTCTCTTTCATTTTCAAATCGTCTAATGTTCCCAAATGAGTTTCCGCGATTACAGGTCTTCCGCGCCTCTAGTTCGGTCTACATACTCATGAGTATGCGAGATATCCTCTTTTGTCGCAAATGGAACTATGATATATTTAATTCCACTTTGAAGTTCAGCCTTCAATTTAGTTATTGCTGTCCAAATATGAAGCATATGCTCTGCATCAACCACGGAGAGATCGCGATTCTGTCAAATTAGTCATGAAATGATCCCATGTAATAACTTACAGACCGTTTCAAACAACTGGATCCATTGAAGCCGACGAGGTGAGAAGGCGAAGCTATGGTAAGCGTGTAGAAAGTCTCACAATAGCCCAAACTCTTGACTCGCTCCAAGAAAGTCTAGAATACTTATGATACTGAAAAAAAGGTACTGTATTGCCCATAAAAGTCTTATCATTTCTTGAAATATTGTCACCTTCCAATTATATTGTCGTGTCCATTTGTGTAAAACCCGCCACTTTTGGCCCATCCCGAGTAGTTATCGCCATTTCTGGTCGCCTATGGCCTTACAATTTGCCTATAGACAATAACCGAGCATAATAAAGCGGAGTTGGAAATATGTCTCACCTCTGCTGTTTCACGCCAATTCAAGCAACGCTAAATGGGCGTCTCGCACCGGAAGATCAAGGCTCTTTTAGAAAGCCCGAGGGCTTAAAAAGATATGATAGACAAACACATGCAATTCCTTGCTTGTCAACTTGACCATCTAGAAGCCGCAGAAAGATTACTGGTTCGAATGATCGCGGTACCGCCCAGTGGCAGGGGGTGGCTTGAACTACTCCACAGAGCCCCAGTGCTTTCGGACGACGCATTTTGATCTCCTGAAGCCGTATTTTCCATGTCCGCAGGAACAAAATCCGGCTGGTCACCCTCCGTGAAAGATCAGAGACAGATGTGTGGGAATGTAGACAACTCGATCGTTCGAAGATATAGTCTTTCCTACTCACTCCGATCAGGGTCGTGTTTTTTCCTTGAAACATTCTTAGGCGGCCGATAGAGACATCAAGGAGTGAGCGTATTTCAGGCTAAGAGGCTTGACCAAGTTACCGTTAGCTTGTATTAGTTTCTAATTTCCAGGCGGAAACTCTGTGTTTCCCAATCCAATTGGGAAGTAAGTCCCCGAATTTCATTCCTTAAGGCACCTTTTTACTTTTTACACTCAGATTTAATCTATGATACATCTTATGTATTTAATACTTGGCTCATGATACATTGGGAAGATTCAAGTATTCGAAAGACCTCAATAGTAGAGGGGTGCGACAATATTAATCTTCCAGCCACATCGGCATGAAAAAACCAAATCAAGATCGATAGGAAGAAATCTCATATGTACCCTTAAATCTGCATCCGCGAAGAGCTGACTGTCAGCGGACCAGAGACACAGTACTAGGACTTAGTGTTTACAGGATCTTGCCGGGGTCTTTCGTCAAAATAAATCAAGATCCTTCAGAAAGGCCGTTCTTTACTGCCATGAAT